TAAAATTATATGGTAAAAGAGATTACTTGGGGAATAATCAAGGAAGATATAAGGTAGGAAAATAAGATGATCAAATATTTAGGAGATGGAGAAATAAAATTAAGGAAAATAAGAGATTTAAAGGAGATAATTAAAAATACAATTTTCCAAAATAAATCACACAAAAATTGACCATGAGGGCCGAAAATATTGAGCTTCCATAGCTCAAATTTTCGGATCCAATTAGTATATTATAGGGAGTTATTTTGCTAGATTTAAGGAATTAAAAATAATCGTGTAAATAATATTTATTGTATAAAATAATTAATTAAAAAGATACCAATTATTCACTAAATAAATTAACCTAGAAAATCTGATTTTCCACACTAGGAAAATCCGAAAATCTTAGTCAATAATTAGGAATTTTCGGACCTTATTAATTAAATAGTAAAATATAGTTTTTGCTTTAATTAAAATATCCGAAATATATAAATAATCCGATTTTTAAAATAAAATAAATGGATGATAAATCTTATCCAAAATAATTATTGATTTATAAAATGTATTTGGCGCCAAAATTCAAATATCATTTTGGCTCCAAAATTCAAATAGTAAGATAAATTACTAAGATACCCTTTTTAGAAAATATTAATAAATTAGAAAATACGTTTCAAAAATACGGGGCATTACATCCATTATCTCATTGGATTTTTTATAGACACCATCAGTATTGGCTTCGTGGGTTTAATCGTCAATCCGAGAAATGGACTGATTTGCCCTTACCCAATTTGTTGAGTATTGGTTTTACCAATGATTTGCATGCTTTGGATGGATGTTTATGTCTAATGGTAACCTGGAATGATGATGAATCCAATGTTTGGGTTATGAAAGAGTATGGTGTTCAAAAATCATGGGTACCGCTATTTACCATGTCTAATATAAGTATTTTCAAGCCTTTGCTTTCGCCACCAATTGCTTATTCCAAGGATGGTCATGGACATGAATTTCTAGTGAGACAAAATTATCAAGGTGTAAGCTCTCCGTGTAGATTTCTCTGGTTAAATTTGAGGGACAAAACTGTTAAAAAAGTTCGAGATCTAATGCCTTGGGATGTCGTTGTTTGTGCTAGAAGCCTTATTCGTGTTCCTAATGGAGTGCCTGATAACTCACAATGATTGTGTCTTGGACGAGATAATTCAGATTTTTTTGAGCAGGGTATTAGATTGGTAGCTCTTACGTTGGTGTAGCCGTGTAGCATGTGGCGTGATACCCCTGTTGTCCGCTGTCCTGCTGATCTCTTATGTTGTCTTAAGAGCTTTCCATGTTGTGTATGTCGACAATTCAGCTACCTTAAGAGTCTACTGCTAATCACTTGTGTTAATTGTCTTAAGAACTCTCCATGTTTTGTATGGTGACTATCTTGTTCTTGCTATGAGAGTCTTTGCTAATTGCTTTTTATTTTGTCTTAACAACTCGTCATATTTTGTACGATGAAATCTTGGTATTGACTTATGAGTTATGACTCTATTGGGCTTATTTATCTAGTTCACATCTCTGTGCTTATGTATGATCTATTATCTTTTGGTGTGATGGAAAATTTACATATGAGACTAGCATTTGTGAATGGTGTAGTGTATTTTCAGAGCAGCAACCAAGATAAAAGTCGAATAGGTCATTTGATATATATGTCGGAAATCCGGAATATGGGATTTGGTTCAATTTGCATTTATTTTCAGATGCAACACCCTTAAGCTTATGTTAACTTGCATTGGTTGTTTTCTTGTTGCGTTTCTGCCGTTCAATATAATTCTTGAGGCAGTGGCTATATCATTTATAGAAAACCTGTTTTTGTTTATTTATTTTTTTTTTCCAATGATTACTGATTTTATGAGGGGTTTTGTATTTATTTTCTTGACTACCGTGTACATGCTGGTAAAGTTTTTAGAACCTAGTCGTTCTCTATAGTAGTCTAGTCTGTAACTAGTTAGCTACGACACTTGCAGACCTCTTTGGTCATTATTGTATATTGATCCCACCCTCATCATGCATCTCTTCTTAAATACAACATCTCTTTTTGCCTGAAGGTCGTACACTATGATATCCCAGACAAATACCTCTAGTCCCTTTTGCACAAATTTATCTCCTATACATTTTTTTTTTTGGCCTCAAGAGGGTCATAATTGTCATAAGTATGGATGACAATGGGTTAGATCGGATCGGATTATGCAAAATTCGACTCCGACAAGATGTCAGATTTTTAATCTGCCTCCGCCTCAGCCTCCGACATCCGGCTCTAATTTCCAACCTCCAACTCCAACCCGATCCGACTCCGAATCCGACTTTAAATTTAATTTTGACCCAATTATCAATAGCAACCCATATATAATCAACTTCAAAGACCTATATATTCATGAATTGAATAATAAAAAAAAAGTACATAGAAAAGTCGGAGTCGGATCGGATAAGTCGAATTATAAGTAGACTCTGACTCCGATCCTCCTCCGAGTCGGAGTCGGATATTTTAAACGAAGTCGGATTCGAATTATTATTTCTCGAATTGTGTTCGGATTTTTTTCTTCGGATCGGATCGGACTAGGGGCGGCTTCGGACTAGATTGCCATCCCTAGTCATAAGGGTCACAATGATCTAGCTTTGCCCGATGTTTCTAGGATTCGTTTTAAGGATGAATTGCAAGCTTTGGATGGATGTTTATGCCTAATGATATATAGCGAAGATAATGAACTGATGGGTGGGTTACGAAGGAGTATGGACCTATCAATAAGTCTTAGGTGCAACTAGGATAGATGCACCACGGCCTATAAAATGAACATGTAGTAAGAAAATATGAACACGTGAAAAAAAATATACATTTAGTAATACAAAATGAACACGTAAAAAATAAAAATTTAGTATTAAAAAGTGAATACGTTTTAAGAAATGATCATACAGTATATTAAAAATGAGCATGATTATCATATAATCATAGAATTACTAGACCGCGATCTTAAAAATGAATATTAAGTAAAATAAATATTATGAACACGTTAAAAGAAATGAACATTTAGTAACAAAAAATGAACAAGTAAAAAAATTTGAACATTTAGTATATTAAAAACGAACATTTATCATACCATCATAGGTTAGTTGGACCATATACATAATAAAATGAACATTCCATAAAATATATGAACTTTAAAAAAATGAACACGTAAAAAAATAAACATGTAAACAAAAGTTATGAACATTTAATATATTAAAAATGAACATAATTTTCATATATTCATACATATTCAAATTCCCGAAAATAAAGATAAAATAAATCGTTAAAATATGTTCATATTTTCTGTACTAAATGTTCATTTTATACAACATAATTCATTTTTAAAGTATTATGTGTTCATTATTTTTACGGATATTATACCCAAGTTCGATTGTAATTATTTGAAATCTAAAAATTTAAATATCCACCCTAAATCTTATATTGGTTCATCATGGAGAAAATAATTATTAATCTATAAAAATGATAGATTATGAATCAAAAATGCAAAAATTGATATAAATCAACAATTTTATAAAATTCACTTATTTATAAACCAAAAAAAATAAAATTCAAAATTACCTCACGATCGCGATGAAGATGATGACGATGGAGGATGCTACAATGGCGACGAATTGGAGAATGCTCGAAGTAAAAGCACAAAGAAGAATAATGATTGAAGGAAAGTGAGGTATTTACATGTTCATTTTTTTATAGAGATAATAAAAGAAAGAGAAAGTTTCAAAATGAGAAGAAAATAGAGGAGAGAGAATTAATAGAGGTAAAAAAAAGAGAAGAGAAAGGAAGTTAAGAAATAAGGAAAGAAAAAAAAAAACTTATGTTCATATATATGCAGTGGTGCAACTAGGGTGTAGCTAAGAATTTGCGTGGACCTATGATGTTAAGGAATCATGGGCTTTGTTTTGTTAGCATGTCTGAAATCAATATTTTCAAGCCTTTGCATTCACCTCCTCTTGCTTTTTACAGGGACGATCATAAACATGAATTTATAGTGAGACATATTGATCGTCCATTTGGGTTAAAAAAATATAGACATCTCTAGTTCAATTTGAGGGACCAAAAGTCCAAAACCATCAAACTAGTTCCAGATTCTATGCTTTAGGGTCTCATTGTTTGTGTTGGTAGTCTTGTTCCGGTTTCTAATAGTGTAGCCGTTTACCTGATGATACTCCTTTGTTACAACTCTAGTTAATCACTTATTTTGTCTTCAAACTTATTGTATTTTGTACGCTGGAAATCTAGTTCTTGCCTTGTGAAGATGTGAGTTGTGACTCTGTTAGACTTATTTTATCCAGTATACATTATTGTAATTATGTCTGATCTATCGTCTTTTGTTCAATGGAAACAGGTTCAAACGTGTCTGATGCACGGTTTTTTTTTTTTTTTTTTTAACATTTTATATATTTATTTATATGATTTTATTTAGCTTATTTCTTGAATTATTTTATTATAAAATAGATAATAGATTTATTTGCTCATTCATAAGATATTTAAATCAAATTCTAATATCAAAAACTAATACTACGTATTTTACTTTGTAACTAGCTCTTCCCAAATTTCATTCGTTAGTTTTATTTATATGACATTTTAATGATCTAATTCTAAAAAAATACAAATCACATCAATATTATTTTATTTTACAAATTGTAAAGTTCAAATTGTTTTTATTAGCTTGTTCAATTAAAAATGTGGCGCCTCATCCTTCCCGCTAACTCTCAAGCAAATAAATTTAAGAGCCCAAATCTGTCTTACATCCATGTCATCAATCCTAAGAAAAGCTATAAAACCAATCAAACATCGCCACGTCCTTAAAAACCTCCTTTTGATTTCATCCGTTAGATCAAAATACACAACAGACTGAAATCAACGCATTTCCAAACTCCAAAAGCCATCATCAATCCGTGCCTTCCCTCATCCTCCAATAACATCAAACCTTTACTCCCTATAAATACAATTCACAACTCAAACCAATTCTTCATCTCACCACAAAAATCTCTCTCTCTCTCTCTCTCTCTAAAAAACAATCCAATTCAAAAAACTTCGAAGCTTTCCCTCTAATCTCATTAATGGCGCCGAAAGCCGAGAAGAAGCCCGCCGAGAAGGCCGCCGCCGCCGAGAAAGCTCCGGCGGAGAAGAAGCCAAAAGCTGGGAAGAAGCTACCAAAGGAGGCCGGAGCAGCCGCCGGAGACAAGAAGAAGAAGCGACACAAAAAGAGCGTCGAAACCTACAAGATCTACATCTTCAAGGTTCTGAAGCAAGTTCATCCTGATATCGGAATATCAAGCAAAGCTATGAGTATCATGAACAGCTTCATCAATGACATCTTCGAGAAGCTGGCTCAGGAATCTGCTCGACTCGCTCGGTACAATAAGAAGCCGACGATTACTTCTCGCGAGATTCAGACTGCTGTGAGACTTGTTCTTCCTGGTGAATTGGCTAAGCATGCTGTTTCTGAGGGTACTAAGGCTGTTACCAAGTTTACTAGCTCTTAATTTAGGTTTTAATTGTGAGTTTTAGGGATTAGGGTTTGGTTGTTCAAATTTGGGTAAATTTGGAATTGAATTATGGTGGTTATTATGTAACTAATCTTACAAATTAATGGAAATGCTTTTGTCAAATCTGTGTTGTTTAATTTCTTTTTTTTGTTTTTGGTGTTTCAATTTCAAATACTCTGTATTTTTAATTTTCTGAAATCGTTTTGACATTATTCTGCAATTTCTTTATGAAACATTCTTTGTAAATTTGGTGAATTATTTATTTAAGTGATTATTTACAAATAATTCAGATAAAAGTATTTAAGTGATTATTTACTGTTACAGTAAATTTGGTGAATTATTTAAGTGATTATTCACATTAACTGTCTGTAATGAGCATTGTATACTGTTTTTACCAGAAACAACACAAGAATAGAAGTTTAAGGTTTTGGGATCAAGCATACACGTTTCATCAGGGACTAGGGAGCCTCTTAAGCCTGGAAGTGGAGGGGTTCATGACTCCATGTTCACCTTAGGGTATATAAGTGGTTTTTACATTACTAACATGATTTTTTGCCTCTTACTAATCTTACAAGTGCTTATGGCAATAGAGACTAGCGAGTGAAAAAGAAAGAAAAAACCAAACAAACAAACAAACATTATATAAAAAGAAAACACTATGTTGCCGAGTTAGTAAGGGTGTATTCTATTCACCTGATTTTTCACTAATTTGAACTGAACTTATTAAAATTTATTTTAGTTGTAATTTGAACTTGGCAACCCTTATCGGAACTTTTGTTTCTTGAACTAAATTGATCTGAACTTATCTCAACTTAATTAAACTTATTAGACTTGAAATAAGTGAATAAAACATGCTTTTAAGTGTTGGATATAGCAATGCTTAGGAAATGTGAAAGTAGACCTGATTAAAGTTGGCCTAGCCCAAAACATGATGGGTTTAGGCAAGAATTTTGGGGGGCCCAACACATTTTTTTTTTATTATAAATAATATTTGGGATTTAGGCACCACGAAATTACAAATTAAACTAAAAATTAGTTTTGGATTAATTTTGGCCCAAAATGGGCCTTTTTTACATTTATGCGAAGCTTTCACTCTTCTTTTTTGGGATAGTGTTTTGTCCGATAAGATATAAAAGTTTTATTTTGTTTAAATATGAGTATTTAAAAAAAGATGTTTGAAGTTCTTTCCCTTTTGTTTTACATTAAAAAGAATCTTCATGTAAGTATCACCACACTTATATGAAAAGGAGAGTTGGGTAACTTATTTTGGCGTGACAATATGGTTGATTTGGAGATGGCGTAATTGTTTACTTTGTGTACAATAGGAGGGATGAGATTCCTCTAGAACTTGGAGCTTTTTACAGGTAAGATATGAAGAGGCTAGAAAAGCGAAATGAAGCATTTTGGCGCATGGAGATGTGAAGAAAAGTTGCAGAGTTCAAGCTAACATAGCATGGCAAGCCCCGGATTTTGGTTGGTATACTCTTAATAGCAATGGAGCGGCGAAAGGAGATTTAAGACCGGGAGTAACTATCAGAGATTACTCTGGTAATTTTGTATAGGCGTTTTCGAGCAATTTTGCATTTTGCACAACGTTTAGAGTAGAGGTGATGGCCTTAACTAGAGGGTTGGAATTGGCGAAAAATTTGCAGATTGAGAAGCTAGAGGTGATGGATAACCTTCCTTGTGTTCAAGCATTGAAAAGGCAGGACCAAGAGGTGAGAATGTTCATGACATTCATTATTGTAAGCAGATGCTCAATGATTCAAGTTGAGAGTTTTGAACAAATCCGTGGTTGGACCACCAATCTACTACGCTATTTTATTCTCTAAAAACATGAGCCACTCTTGTCGTCCAACTTGAAATTATTTATGATGTACCGTTAGACCTTAATCGTATTAAAGGAGGATTCTAGGGGTGTGACTTTTCCATACTTTGTCCCTCTGTAGTAGGTTGTTTTTGGTTTGCTTTTTTGCTTTTTTTTTTTCTTGGATTTGTTCCTCTTTTGAATATAAAAAAAAAAAAAAAAGTGAGAAAAACAAATTTAATAGTAAAATTTACAAACGAAGGGAGTATAATAAGACATTTTTGATAGGATTCAACTAATGAGATGTTTACCTTTGTTTTTCATTTTAAATATTTAATTGTCACATAAGCTAAGCAAAATCAAATGAGATTTGAGAGTAAAATAATTAACAGTGAGATTTAAAAGTAAAAAATTAAATCGCCACCTAAACAAAATTTTAGTGATTGAGTTTATTTAATTGATCAAAATTTATAATTTCGGAAAATACTCCATAAATTATTTAGAAAACAAAAAATTATCTTTAATAATTTATCCAAATTTCCTACAAATGTGAAAAGATTTTAAAAATTATACTTAAAAAATATCGTGCATAAACCTAATTAATTGTAATTTTGTTTTTATATCTCTTTAATAAACTTTAGGATTTCTTACACTTTGGAGGTTCTCAATTTCTTTCTCTGCAAGTCTCAAAAAAATTTCATCTCCTTCACTTTCTCTCTCATCGGAAATCTCCTGCAGAACTCTCTCTAATGTCGACCGAAGAAGAGGTTAAACGTAAGGCCGCCATTGCCGAGTACAATAAGAAGCTCCTTCAACATCGGGAGCTTGAATCTCGCAGCAGGAAAGGTTTTACGTTCTAAATCCCTAATTTTGCCTAATTTTTTTCTACTTTTATCAATTTTAGGGTTTTGAATTTGCTCCTAGGTTTAATTTCTTTGTCGGTGTGTTTGTTTTGCATTTACAACAGCGAAATTGTTTGAATTTATATCTATTTTGGCCTCGAAACTGTGAAATTGGATGAATTTGTTGTCGTATTAGTTAGATTATGTGGTGAGGATGCATTATCTAGTTAAATCGAAGTGGAATTTGACAAATTTGAGTTTAATTTTTGATTTTATGTTTGAATTTGTGGAATTGTTTTTTTAGTTTTGTGATTCCTGGCAATTATTACCGTATGTAATTATAAGATTCTAGTGGATGTGACATAGATTGTTCGTTTTCGGAGAAATTTAAGTGAATTTCTGTAGTTTATTAGTTTATATAAGGCTTACATATGAATTGTGCTGCGAATCTGCAATAAACCTGCCTAGCAAGAAGGCTGCTGTTTGCTAACTCTAAGCTAAGCTGTTTACATCAATACCTGATCAGCATTTTAGCTAAACTAAGCTGTTTACATCAATATGAGTTTTGTTCTAATAGCGTGGCTATTTCACTAATTGGTTTCATTAAAAGTCAAGAATAAAGTTCAATTACCATCAAGAACTCATAAAGTTGAGAATCCTGCTATGGCTTTATTATGCCTTGCCTTGTTTTTGGTTGATACTAATTGGTGTTTTTACACCACTTTCTTCATTGGGTCCTCCTTTGAAGTTGTTGTGAATCCTTGGGATGTCATGGACCATGGTCACTTAACCTTGTTAAGTCAATTGGCAATTCCAAATTGCTTCGTAAACTGTATTAAACTAGTCTTTTGGTCAAGCTACATAAATTCATGAATGGGGGCCTCAGTAAGCATTAAGTGAACAACCAATTTGTGCTCAATGCTTTCGCTATTTTTTTTTTCCTTTTTTTTTTGGTTCTTGTTTTTGTGAAAGTTTGTTCAGTGTAAATTGCATGCCTTTGACATTCTAACAAAATTTCCCTTTAGTTTTTTTTTTTATTTGTTTAACACTGAAACTCAAATCAGTGCTTACTCCGTATTAAAATAATTTAGTGAGGGCATTTAAAAAAAAAAAAAAAAACGTTATTTCTAGTGGCAATAGTGCTGGTTTTATAAAACTGCCCTTTAGGTTTTTTGTTAGAAACTTAAAATTTTAACCCGTGCTATTTAAAATAACTGAACAAGAGTAATGTGGAAAAACCACAAGTTTCTTCAATTTTTGAGAGTCGTTTATAAAATGTAAGATGCTCGGAGATCTGGTTCAAAACTTCAAATAGTGGCTTTGAGTCCTAGTTATCACTACGAAATATACCAGCAATTACAATGAGGCAGTGAAGAGGTTTAAAAGAGCTCAGAGGAGGTTGAGTTGTGTTTACCTTTTCATCATATGGAAAGGTTGCTTGGTGTTTATGTTAGTATTTTGCTGTATCCTACTGCAGATCAATTGTGCTGTCATTTTGTTATGTTACGTTCTTGGGTTTTTGGCTGTTGCTAACATATTGGAAATCTATATTCTCAGTGAAGGATGAGCTGCGAAGTGCGAAAAAGGAGTACACTAAAACAGAGGATGATCTAAAGTCGCTTCAGAGTGTTGGACAGATCATTGGAGAAGTCCTTAGACCTCTTGACAATGAGAGATGTAATTGATCTCTTTATCTCTTCTTGTCTGTTTTAGCGCTAAATCTGGTTGTGGCTAATGGTATACAAGTATATTATTCTGGTTCATTGCCTTATGGCACCTAGGGTGTGTTGTTTTTCTGCCAATATACTTTTTCTGCCGATCTCTTCCATAATTAGCAGGATTAGAGTTGTGCTAATTCCACTGAGGTGCCCACGTGTTTTGCATGCTTAATAGCAGGCTTTTTTTTTTTTTTTTTAAATTTTATACTTCTTATTTTTTTATTTAGTTATTGTTATTATTTTTTCAAGGATCATTAGTGATGAAAATGCTTTTGTTCTATTCAGTGTCCTTTTTGCATCATATTGTTCTATTTATTCAACTGTTGTAACTTGTAAGTGTACGTATAAATGTATAATATCAAATTGTCAACAACCTTTTTGCCACATCACCTTTTCTTTCGTTACCTAGTACCGAACAGATTCAATCTTATAGGTGACTGAGCAATGTGTTTATGTTTGCCAGTAATTGTGAAAGCTAGCAGTGGACCAAGGTATGTGGTTGGTTGTCGTAGCAAAGTGGACAAGGAAAAGCTAACTTCTGGAACACGAGTGGTACTTGACATGACCACCCTCACCATTATGCGTGCTCTTCCACGTGAAGTAAGTTTTGCTTCTCTTATGGTGTCTGTTTTATTCTGCTCGCATCTGAGTTAGTGTTGTTTTCTTAATTATGCTTAGTCTGTTGTGAACCTGTGATAAAAATGGCAGTGTTGCAGACATCTTAAGTAAGTGACTAGTGTTAGCATCCTCAACGAG